AGCTCAGCATCCCTTTTTTTATACACACTATCATTTGCTGTATCCAGTAACACAACCACATCCACTCCCCTCCTCAGCCTTCTGCGAGAAAATTCGGGTTTACCCCCCTGGGGGTATGTCAGACTTTTGTGCAGGAGTAGATGGACAAGGACCTGCCTCCTCCTCCCCCTCCTCCTCCTCTGTTTGTGCCGTGCTGGGCAGAGAAAAGGCTGCCACAGAGAGAGAAATAATAAAAACAAACAGACAAAGCCAGTGCTGGGATATTCTGTTTCAGAGCAATGACAGAAAGTGGAGATGAGGATAAAATGAATAAGCTACAGTTATTGATACTGTTTTCTTTGAATTAACACAGCTCTGCTCCATCAGCATGTCCCAGGTGGGTGGAGTTCTGGTGTTTCCATCCCCTCACCTGGGGGTTGGTTTGCTCAGACCCCCCTCAGCTGTTCCCTCACCCACCCCAGGACTTCAGCCCCACAAATATTTGAGACCCCTCAGCGTCACCACAAAGCTCCTCACCCCTATCACCACCACCAGCACTTCTCTTACTCCTTCCCTGACTTACCCTTCCCTTTGAACTCCCCCCAAGCAACCAACACAGCCCAATTCCCAGTGACACTTCACTGGGATCCTACTACAAACCCGTGGATGCAAAAGAATCGTGGACAAACTGGTGACCCGAAACACGGAGACACAAAGGAGGCAGAGCAACCCCAATCTTGTCCTTGCCGGCTGGCCCTGGGCAATTTAGTCCCCTCCAAGTATCTCAGTTTACTCCTTTTATCACATAAAAAATGCAATACTCGCCTCTTCTGCAAAAATTATTTTGGAATGTGCTGAGAGACAGCGTCGAGTTGAGGCTCCTTATTGGGATCAGGCACTTTTCTGCAAACGGTGCTTTCACAGCCCGGAAAATATCAGGAGATCTACTTAGAATTGATAAAGAGGGATGAGATACTCTGGGAGAAATAATTCATCACCTTGGAGGGCATGCAGGAATCTGCAGGCACCGTCTGCAGACGTGGCTGGAATGGGAAATCAGCTCCAGGGAATACAAAAGGCCAAATTACCTGAGCACCTTGGACTCGGTGTCTCACCCTGAGTTTTCTGCATCCCAAGACAAATATTTCAGGGAATGACCCTCAAAGAGTGGCAAGATGAATCAGGCTTTTCCCATTTATGTTGTTGCTTCCCTAGAAAGCAGGAAAAGCCTGAAAATGCTACCCCCTAATGGCACAACCGGGTGTGGGGTGCTGGCCTGGGAAACGCTGATCCAGATTTTATCCACAGGGCCGGGAGTGGAGATCCAGGGAATGGAAATAATACAGGGAATGGAACTACAGGGAATGGAAATACTGCAGTCTCTGCTAGCAAGATGTGCCCCTGGGGGGGAGGAAGAGAACTTGTGCAAACCCCCTGACAGCAGCTGTGCATGGAGTTATACCAGGAATGGTATAAAAGTAGAGCCATTTTGTGGGATTCAGCTGAAATCAAACCGGAGCAAAACAAACCCGAAGGTTCCACATCCAGTGTGTGGGATGGGGGAGATGCTTTGAGTGTGGCAGTGGGGATCCTGCCTGCTCCAGCTCCTTCAGGACTCAGGCAGCCCCTGGAGAAGTTGATAGTGCATTGATGCCTCAGACCAAAAAGATACAACTGAAATCAGGAGGGAGAAAGAAAAAAAAAAAAAAAGGAAATAAAAAGTACTTTAAAAGCGCAGAAAACTCACCAAAAGCCTTTTTAGGATTTTAAAACATATACAGGATGGTAAACTGGTGGTGGGGGATCTCTATGATACACATCTGGAGGGCAAAGGTGGTTCATCCAGTCCTCCAGGCAGGTTCCAGCTCCCCAGGTGGGTGTGGTGGAGCAAATAATGTGGGGATCCCCTCTGAGGTCGGGGTGCACATTGATCCTGATTCTCAAATCCAGTGCAAACCTTTGCAAACCTTCCCTTGCATGCCACTTAGAAACCTCCATTTCGTCTTTTTTTTTTTTTTTTTTTTGGGTGTATCTCAAAAGTAATGCTCTTAAAAGTAATAAAAATCCTCCTCTTCTCCCTTCTGCTCCACTGCTGTCCTGCCCAAGAACCCCAAGCCTCGCACAGACCAGATCACAAGCCCAGATCTTCGGCTCCAAACTCCACTAATCATGTCCTGTGTGACCCCAGGCAAAACCCTTTTCTTCCAAAGCTACAGCCTGACCTGCTCATCAGGGATTTAAGGACCTTTTCCTTTCACTCCACACCGAATCTCAGGTGGCACCTTGGGTGGTCTCATCACAGAAATGATGCAACAAGAGAGGAGTCCAATATTAAAACAGACCTTGTCCTCTGAAAAGTGCAAAAATGCAACGGTCCTGCTGCTATTCATTGTCCTCAAGAGTTTTTTGGGGATTGCCAGAAGCATGACACTGTCAGAAGTGTGACAGCAGCAGACCCTGATGAAGGAGAAACGCAGTGGATTTTTCCCTCAGGTAGGAATGAGGGTGGTTCTCCAGTGATCCAAAGAAATGAGAAGTTCCTTCCTTGTGTACCAAGAGCCCTCAGGTTTTCCTTCTGCTCAGTGCAAGTCTTGGGGGAAGGAACTTCAAGGTGAAC